TCACACAAACACCACATACATTTTTATATGTTATATATTGACACACATGAACACAAACACAAACCACACGCACAATTTTTGACATCTATTGACCCAAACAGACAAACAGACAAACACCACACATCCAGTTGTTGGCATTTATTGACACACACACACACACAAACACACACAAACACACACACACACATTTTATGACACACACAAACACACACACATACAAACACACACGCACACACAAACACACACGCACGTACGCACGCATATTTCTTGGCATTTATTGAAAAATTCAAACATTTAATATGTAAAAAACTAATTTTTTTACGAATAAATCCGAAAAATGAAGCAATGGGTTATGACGGTGGAGATAAAATGTAGATGGAATACAATAAAGTAAGTAAGACTGTGCCAGTGCATTTCTCAATGGCATAATATATCAGAAGATGTTTGATTACATTTCTTTATTAAAGATTGTATGTATGTATGTATGTATGTATGTATGTATGTATGTATGTATGTATGTATGTATGTATGTATGTATGTATGTTTGTCTGTATGTTTGTTTAGTTTATCTATGTTTGTAAATTTGTATGTTTAGTCTGCTTATGTTGGTATGTATGTCTGGTGTTTGTATGTTTGTATGTTTGAATGTTTATCGTTCTAACATCATCATCATCATCATCACCATCGTCATCATCATCATCATCATCACCACCATCATCATCATCATCCATTTGGGGTTGTGCTTCTAAATCTAGTCTTCATGTTCTAACTATAGCTCAAAATTTTTTTATTCGTATATTGTTTAAATTGAATCGCTTTGATCATGTTAGTGCAGATAATTATAAAATAGCTAACATTCTAAATAAAAATCAGTTACATATTTTGCATTTATTACTTCTATTTTTTAAAATATTTAAATTAAATTATTGTCAATCTCTTTATGATCAATTAGCATTGTATAAGAATACTAGACAAATTTCGTTGCGTTTTATTCCTGATTTTTATTTTCCCAAATGTAGGTCTAACTTCTTTCTTAATTCTGCCTTGTCTATTTCTATGAGTCTTTGGAATGTGCTGCCTGTTGATTTTTATTGTTTAGAAGACGATGATGACTTTGATGATGATACGATTGATGTCTTTGGTAATAGTAATGATGATAATAATGACGATGATGACGATGATGACGAAGATGAGGCACTGTCAGATACAATAAATTGAAAATTGATTTATGTTCACTAGTTTAACACGGAAACACTTCATCAACGAATTAAGAATGCATTTCATAAATGAATGAACGATTGATTGAATGAGAAAATGAAGAACGAACGAAAGAACAAATGAACAAATGAATGAAAGAACGAACGAACGAATAAATGAATGAAAGAATTAAAAATAATAAAAAAATTGAAAATGACAAAAAAGATGTCAGATCTCATTGGGTACTTGATAAAAAATGACGTTCTCTGCCCTACCTTGGATATCGCTATTTAAGAAAAGTTATTTTAATTAATTAAAGTGTTAAATTGGAAAGTTTCTTACTAAAAATTAGAGTGCAATTAGAAAAAAACCGTTTTCTGTAATGTCGTTCCATTTACTATTTTCATCTAAAGGTTTTCATTCTATCGTCACCACCGATGCTGTCAGTCATAAAAATGTTGTCAGGGCCGGATTTAAAAGCAGGGAGGCCCTTATAAAACATATCCTTGCATTTTTGTTAAAATTGGTGAACTAAAGACATTTATAATATCAGAAAAATGTTTGCATGATAAAATATTTCATTCAATCAAAAAATAAACAAGGAGAATCTGAAAACTTTTGCCTCATTTATTTTTAAAATTGTTTGTTTTTAACAACAGAATCCTGCAAATTAAAAGTTAACGTCCAGCAAGTTTGATACATTTGTTCAACCGTCGAACTGACAAACTGAACAGAAGAGATGTGCGTTATTAGTACCATTGAATTTAAATTTACCATCATGCCAATTTACGATCTCCAAAGAATCCTCTCCAAAGAATCCTCATTGCCACCTTTATTGTCTGGCTGACCCTTGCACCAATTATTCATTTCTGCCACACTTTGTACTGAAGGATTTCATCTAAAAATTTTGCAGTTCTGAACATTTTCCATTCGAAAACTTGGGAGTTGTTTTTCTTCCTACCAGCCGTCCAGAAGTTATTGTGATTTTTATATTTACAGTCAGCTGTAAAATAAATTATAAAAAATACATTAATGAGAAGATTTGCATAAAAATTATTCAAGATCAGTTTATCTTTTACGTTCAACGAAATAATTTTTATGAACACTTTTGAAATGTTTATACCACTGAGAAAGGAATATGAATAATTTATACAATTGAACTAACAGCAAATTGGTTTCAAATTTAACAATTGCGCGATGTAAATTTTTTGGGGAATTTTACTAATAGAAAAAATGTAAGACGACCCTTTACGATGTTGTCCAGATGAACAGTCAGCTGATTCAAAAATTCTTGATTATCAACAATTACCAAGTTAGCTCCAAGAACGTCACATGAGATGACACTTGCATCCCATGACGCTCCTGTCCTATTGACGTAGATACACCTTCCACCAATGAGGGTGAACGGGTCAGGGCAAGCACCTGCAAGTTCACAAGATGCAGTTTCTTATCTGAACGAATTTCATTGCACCGATCGTGGTACTAGGTGTGTTTGTGAAATGTCGAGGGAGCCCATTAACGTCAGTGATATAATGTTAAAGTTAAAGAAAATATTCAGCTGGGCCTGATAATATTTTTTCTAGGGTTTTGATTGAGTGTAGTAGTGTGATTGCGGATTATTTATGTGACTTATTTAATATTTCTTTGTGTTTGCACGCAATTCCGGATGCATGAAGGCACAGTATTGTTGTGCCTGTTTATAAAAAAGGATGATGTATGTAGTGTGGAGAATTACAGACCAGTTTCCTTATGTTGTTTGTGTTGTAAGGTCACAATTTATTTAATTGTAGACAATTTGGATTTGTGCCTGGGAAATCTGCTGTTTTGTTGTTGCTAAAGATGAATGAAGTTTGATAATTGATGGGGGTGAAGAAGTGGATGTTATATATACTGATTTTGAGAAGGCTTTTGATAAAGTTCGACATGATAATCTTATTCTTAAATTAAAGTCTTACAGAGTGAATGATTTGGTTAATGATTAGATCGTTGATTATTAGATCATTTGTGGTTAAAGTCAATGGTTTTACGTCAGATAACTTTGGTGTTACTAGTGGGGTTCCACAAGATATCGTGCTGGGACCAATTTTGTTTGTTTTTTATGTCAACGATTTATTTGATGTTCTTGCAGACAGAGCAGATGTGGGTGTTTATTTGTATGCCAATGATGCCAGTTTTTTTAAGAGTATTTGTTCCGAGGGTGATAGAATGATTGTTCAGTTGTGTTTGAATGGTCTTTTTGAATGGTGTCATAAATGCCAATTGACGTTAAATATTCAAAAATGTGTGGTTGTTAGATATGGGAGGGGGAATGACAATGATTTAAAAAATAATTTACATCATATAGATGGAAGTTATTTAAATTATTGTGATGAAGTAAATGACTTAGGAGTGATTTTTGATAGGAACTTGACATTTCATAAACATATTTATAATAGTATAAACAAATGTAATAGTTATTTAGGTTTAACTTGTGTCAACTATCTTGATTTTCTTTTTTGTTAATATACAAATCAATTGTCAGATCAAGGATCGAGTAAGCAGCCAACTAGTGGGCACCGTGGACTAAGAAGGTGATTGAGGATGTGGAACGCGTGAAGAAGCGGGCAACAAAATTGGTGAAGGAGCGTCGTGGCTTGAGCTATGAGGACCGCTTGAGATTTTTCGATCTTCCAACTCTAAAATTCCGTCGTCTAAGAGGTGACCTTATATTGGTATTTAGGATGACCAGAAATCTTGAAGGGTCGTGTTATCCTACTTTGATAATGGCAAGAGATAACAGAACAAGGGGCCAGCTTACAACGCAAAAGTTTAAGAGAAATTTGCGCAAATTTTCTTTTTGCAATCGAGTGGTTGACATTTGGAACGGCCTGGGAGAGGATGTGGTGAATGCATGCAATGTTGTTGATTTTAAAATGAAACTTGACAATGCTTTAAAGGATATGCCGTGTAAACTTAACTATAAGCTTGATTGATATATATATATATATATATATATATATATATATATATATATTGATATTTTATTCTTTTTTTATCGTTCTTTATCTCTTTCAGTTTGGTTAATACTATTGTGGTATATTTCAGACTGGTTGTTTTATTTCGATCATATTATTTTCTGTTATTTAGAGTTGGTTATATTTTGGTTATGATTTTGTTGGGGGCATAGGAACTTTAGTTCGCGCCCTTTATTTGAACTATTATGTTGTGACATACATTTCAGGTTACAGGCGGCGACCTATCTGATGCATTCAAACTTATCAACTCTCACATCGGCTTTATAACTACACCACTGCTCCATCCAACGATAAGATAATGATGGAAATGGTCGTGATAACCCTGATGATTTAAAAAAAATGTATCAAAAGCGCCTGCAGCTTATGCGTGTCCGCTTATTCTCTGCGTGAGATGGTTTTCAAAAAATCTAAAATGAATGACTCTTCAGGCAAATTTCTTTTACATTGTTGAAGAATTGTGTCTTTTATTTACGCTGCAAATTAAATTTCATTTTGATGATGTAGTTTTCAGACGATTTTGTCGTATCCAGCGATGTTGTCAGGGCCGGATTTAAAAGTAGGGAGGCCCTTATTAGACATATGGTCAAGCATCTGTTAAAATTGGTGAACCAATTACTTTTTTCATATCACACAAATGTTTACATGATAAAATATTTTAATCAAATCTAAAAACAAACAATGGAAATCTGAAAATTTTGAAACTTTTGGTCAAAATTTTTAAATTTTTGGTTTTTAACAACAATATTCTTTAAATTAAAAGTTAACGTCCAACAAGTTCGATACAACTATTCAACCATCGAACTGACAAACAGAACAAAGGAGATGTGCGCAGAGCAGATCATTGAAAAGAAATTTGCCATTAGAACGGTTGAGCTCCATACAATCCTCTTTGCCCTTCCAATTATCTGGTTGACCGCTGCACCAATTATTCATTTCTGTCACACTTTTGTACTGAAGAATTTCATCTAAAAATTTTGCAGTTCTGAATAGTTTCCATTCGAAAACTTGGGAGTTGTTTTTCTTCCTACCAGCCGTCCAGAAGCAGGCAGTGATGTAGACACATTTATCTATAAAATTCATCATGAAAAATAACTTTAACGTTAAATAAGAAGATTTATATAAAAACTATCATGATCAGTTTTTTTTATGTTCAACGAAATAATTTTTACGAAGACACTTTTGAAATGTTTATACTTCTGATATAGAATTGAACTAACAACAAATTGATTTTAGATTTAACATATGCGCAACGTAACAATTTTAGGGAAATTTAATGTTAGGAAAAATGAAAGACGACCCATATATTTATTGTCCAGATGAAGAGTCAGCTGATTCAAAAATTCCTGATTATCAGCAATTACCAAGTTAGCTCCATGAGCGTCACATGCGATGACACTTGCATCCCATGACGCTCCTGTCGTATTAACATAGATACACCTTCCACCAATGAGGGTGAACGGGTCAGGGCAAGCACCTGCAAGTTCATAAGATGCAGTTTCTTATCTGAACGAATTTCATTGCACCGATCGTTCTGCACGATATATACATATAAATGACAGACCTTCGCCAGTGCAACCAAAGAGGCCAACCAGAAGCAGCGATGCTTGGAAGACAGTTTGGATTTCACCCATATCTTTCGCTGAATCTTTTTCCTAAGTGTTGTGGTTTAAATTGAACAAAAAAGTCATTATGGATTAAAAAAGTAAAATATTGATAATTATTTCAAATATCAGGGTTTAGATTAAACTTATTCAAATATATACCAACGCTATGTATTTCAGGAAAATCTAATTATATATTATAAATAATTAATTTGGAAAATTTTACAAAATAAACAAACAAACAAATATAAATACAAACAAACTAAACGAGCAAATAATATAACAACCCATCCCAACTCATCCAACAAACAATCAACCTGTTACTATTATCGTTCAAATTAAATGTTCAATTCGATAAAATTCACGAATAGCCACTAGACATAAGTGAATTGATTTCAATTTATATTCTCATATGAAAAAATTAATTTGGAAAGTTTTACAAAAACAAAACTGTTAACCGAACGATCCTTTTTATGATTCAGTCTCAATTTGCATCTTCCAAACAACATCTGCTCTTCTCATATTTGATTAAACAAAATTTTAAATAATGTTAATACCTGAACAACCTCATTTGAATTCGCGTGACATTTGGTCATTTTACATTGCAAATTTGTTAGGAAAGTTTTGACAGAAAATGTATTTTAAAATATTTCGAAATTGTTTAAAATATGTTGAAAAGGACGATAAAATGGTACAAATACTTGTTTTAATGATGACATTTGACCTTTCCGTAGACCTGGATAAACAAAAATTCTTCAATCGTTTCCTAAGATGTTTGATTGTTGGTTGTTGACGAATAATGGCTGGAAAACCATTTCATATGGAAAGAGAACTGTATGTAAAACATTTGTTGACAACCGATGAATTGCTGACAGGATGATGCAACTGAACTGAATATATGAAGACGAACAAAGTTGACGAAATGACGAACGACGCGATGAAAGTTGATGAAGATAAGATGGCTGAGATGTATTAAGTAACTAGCACCCGAGGACGGCGAGTTTAAGTATAAAGCAATGGCGCACTGGTAACCAATGACATTTAATAACATCGACACAACTTAAACTAAATTCTAATAGCAACAGTAACAACAAAATAACTACAATAGTGGAAACAATAATAGTAATAGTGAAAAAATTGCAATAATAAAAATATGGAAAACGTAGTTACTTTGAAAACATGTAAGTTTTTGTGTATGCGTGTGTATAGATGCATGTGTGTGGGTGCGTGTATGTATATGCGTGTGTGTGTGCATGTGTGTATATATGTTTGTGTGTGTGTGTATTTATTCTTTTCTCTTTCTCTTTTCTTTTTCAATTTTATTTTCTCTTTTTCAATCTCTCTCTCTCTCTCTCTCTCTCTCTCTCTTTCTCTCTTTCTCTCTCTCTCTATCCTCTCTATCTCATTTTTCCTGTACGTAAATTATCTACTGATAGGAATTTGGATAGGTAGCTGTGTGTGTTTGTGTGTGTGTGTTTGTGTCTGTGTTTGTTTTTAAGTTGTGTGTGTGAGTGTGTGTGCGAGTGCGTGTGTCGTGTAACTAACTGACAGAACAACATGATGAATGTTATAAAAATGTGATCAGAACGATGACAGTTTGATTGGTGCCTCTATGATTCTCTCTCTCTCTCTCTCTCTCTCTCTCTCTCTCTCTCTCTCTCTCTCTCTCTCTCTCTCTTCTTAATTTGTGACTTATTTTTACATTTTTTGCATACTACGACTCTATGTGTGTGACCGTGTGTATAAAAAAGACCCATAAGTTCACCATCAATTAATTTAAAATCTACATTTATTACATTCTTACTGAAAATTAGACTGAAAATGCAAAAAATTATTGCAAAGTAGAATTGAACATTATTATGGTTTTTATTTCATTAACTACACAAATTTTCGCTATATTTGCCACCTTATTGAACGAATATAAAATTTATTTTAATTTCAGCTTCAGTTGAAACAGTTCAACTGAACATCTGCTGATCCCTGATTTAAATTATTGATTTTTATATTTTGAATTAAGTTTTAATTTACGTGGCAAATACTACGGTTTGAAAAATATTTGAATAAAATTTTATTATTTTAAAAAATGATTAAAAGAATTAACGACAGCCAAAATCATGAGCTCAAATTAACAAAAATTTGTGTATCTATTTATGTACACTTGAAACGAAACGATACAAAACAAAACGAAACGAAACGAAGTTTCGTCCTGTAAACACTGGCCGTAAGAAATTCATTCACCCAAAACACAATCAAAGGTCATGAAACCACAACAAAACCATCACAAACTACAACATCATCCTCTCCATCCTTACCTTCATTATCATCGTCAGCAACAACGACACAGCAACAATATCATCATTAGCAACATCAACAACACCATCATCGTCAACAATGACGTCATCATCAGTAGGAGCAACAACGTCGTAAAGAAAAAACTTCCAATATGAATATCAAATAAACTCCAGTCAAAGTTGAATAATTGTGATTGATTGACGCTTGTAGAAACATTAACAACAACAACTACAAAAATAACAACACATCAACAAAAACAACAGCAACAACAGCTGCAAAAACAAACAACAACATCATCATCTTCATCAACAACAACAGCAACAGCATCAACAACAACAACAACATCAACAAAAGCAACAACATCAACAACAATATTTATTTTAATATTTGACAAAAAACAAAAAAAAATGAATACTCACTATTATTTTATGATTTTAGATGCAATCAAGCAATACAAAATCATCATTCGTCATTTAAGACCACTTAGCCACATACAAGCATTTTCAAACCACACAGACTCTACTAAACACACACACACACACAATACCCACACACGCACACACACAAAGACTACTATCAACACACAGACACACAAACGAAACGAAACGAAACGAAATTTTATTTGTTTCTCAAAATTTAAAAATTTGAGAAACAAATAAACACACACACACACAACACACCAACAAACACACACACACACATTTGTAATATGATATTTTTTAAGTTTCGAACAGATTGACTTAGACTTTTATCGCATTTTACTATATTTCATGTTTTTTCTGGAAATAAAAGAGAATTCACATTATCATTATTGTTGTTACTATTATTATTATTATTATTATTATTATTATTATTATTATTATTTCGAAGTCTTAATTGCTTTGTCTCAGTCACGCATGGATGTATTAATATTTTAAAATGGGGTAGCGATTAATGGAATGAAAGCTATTGTTGAGATCACGAGCAAGTTTGTTGTTGTTGTTGTTGTAGTTGTTGATGTTGTTACTGCAGTTGATGTTGTTGTTGATGGTGTTGTTGTTGTTGATGGTGTTGTTGTTGTTGTCAGTGAAGATGTTATTGTTGTTGTTTTTGATGTTGTTAATTTTGATGCTATTGTTGATTTATTTTTGTTGATTTTGTTGCTATTGTTGTTGATTTTGCTGTTGTTGAACCTTGCTGTTGTTGTTGCTGCTGTTGTTGATGATGATCACGTTGATGATGATGATAAGATGATGATGATGATGATAAGATGATGATGGTGGCAACGATAATTAATGTAATTAGCATTGTTTGAGACCCGCTTAAAATTTAAAAATTCCCGCTTTGAAGTTTGTTTATTGACCTCGTTTGACGATGATGATGACGATAATGACGATGATGATGATGACGATGAGGATGACGATGATGATGATGATGACGATGAGGATGATGATGATGATGATGATGACGATGAGGATGACGATGATGATGATGATGACGATGAGGATGATGATGATGATGACGATGAGGATGACGATGATGATGATGATGACGATGAGGATGATGATGATGATGATGATGACGATGAGGATGATGATGATGATGATGATGATGATGACGATGAGGATGATGATGGTGATGATGATGATGATGATGACGATGAGGATGATGATGACAATTAGACCAGTACAATTGTGATGACGACGATGTTGATGACGTCATCCATGTTGTTGCTGCCATATTGAAAGTTATAAAGTTTTATTTTCATTTTATTACCAATGTTGTAATAATTGTTACTGTGTATCCAGTTGAATGGCTGACAATAACAATTATTATTGCTAATGTTGTTGATGTTGTTAGATGATGTTGATAATAATGATGATGGTGATGGTGACGATGATGATGATGATGGTGGTGATAATGATGATGATTGGGATGATCATGATAATGAAGCTCTAGATGACGACGACGACGATGAATTTTCAAAAGAATTGTTTCAGTTGTTGGCTGTTGTTGTCAGTGAATGGCAGTGAGGAGTTGGAATGTTCGCCTCATTCATATATTCATTCATTCACTCATTCTTTCGTTCTTTTGTTCGTCCATTCATTCACGCATTTAGCTATTCGTTTGTTCGTTCGTTCTTTCGTTCGTTCGTTCATTTCGCGCACACGCAGTTCGCCGTACAGTTACTCTCATCTGAATTCCAAATTTGTTTCACAATGACGATGACGATGATTATGATGACGACGATGATGAAGATGATGATGATGATGACGACGATGATGAAGATGATGATGATGATGATGATGATGATGACGATGAAGATGACGATGAAGATGAAAATGACGTCAAGGCTAATATTGCTAATGTCTGATTCCTAATTATAAAAATAGAACATCTGCAATTCAAATAGCGAGTTAGCTCAGACGATAAAAGCGTCGTGTATCGGGTTGCTATTGCGCGGTTGCCAGGTTCGAACGCTATCTGTCCCAAGATCGAAAACTGCGCCTGTCCAATGTTGCTGGTGTTGTAATTTTAATTGTTTGGTTGGTGATGATGCAATTTAGGTCCATAACCTTAACGAATGACATTACAATAAGTTGATGGCGTTTCTGTTGAAAGGTATTGATGTCATTCTATCGATCTACTTCAATGCAATCAAAGTTGTTTTAGAAGTTTAAAAGTTTTTTTTTATTGAAGATTTTCGTTGGAGATTCATTTCATTAATGGTGTTCAAAGTGGTGTACGTTCCATTATGGCGTTAATTGTGGTGGTTTGTTAAGTTTGCAAGAAGACTTTAAGGTTTAATCTAGAAGGCAGGCTTCAAATAAACAGACTTGGAATGTAAGACTTTAAGATCTAGTCTAGCAGGCAGGCTTCAAATAAACCGACTTGGAATGTGAAGTTCTCCCGGCAGATCAACAACAACACTGAACAAAAGGAAGAGATTGCGTTCGCAAAATACATCATAACATCGGGAATCACATTAACCGCAGTGAGTAACTGCATTAACAAAAACAACTACAACATTATCAACAACAATATTATCAACAACAACAGCAACAATAACAACAACCACATCAACAGCAACAACTGCCACCGCAACCAAAGCAACAACAACAACAACATTGACAACAACAACAACTGCCACAGCAACAACCGCAACAACAACAACAACAGTAACAACAACAACAACAGCCACAGCATCCACAACAACATCAACAACAACATCTACAACAACATCAACAACTTTTTTTCGGCCATAATTTTGGAATCCGTTCAAGAGTTCAGTCGGGCTCTAAAGTGTAATTATAATCAGTAGGAAGTGGAATAAGATTCCTGATAATGATGATAACGATGATGGTGATGATAAGGATGATGGGATTGTGATGATGTTGATGATGATGATGATGATGATGATGAGGTTGAAGATAGTGGTGATAATGATGTTGACAGCCAACGCTCTATTCAGATGATTTATGTTTTTTGATTGATGACGCCAATATTTCACAAAGCCTGTTGGTAGCCCCTATGTAATTATCATCATTATCATCATCTTAGTCATCGTTATCATATTCTACATCATCATTATCATCATCTTAGTCATCGTTATCATATTCTACATCATCATTATCATCATCTTAGTCATCGTTATCATATTCTACATCATCATTATCATCATCCAGATCACCAGTATCATCATCAAGATTGTCATCGAAGACGTCATTATCATTTTCTAGATCTGAATCTAGATCGCCAATAAAAAGTCGTCCCAAAATAAAGGAGCAACAAATCCTGAAAAAAAAATCTTTCCCGAGTTGCTATTCAAGTACATACGCGGCCCTTCAAAGAGTTAAAATAGTTCTCTATGTGGCCCTCACTGCAAAAAGTTTGCCCACCCCTGTTCTGGATCATAACTGGATTATCATTATCATAACCTAGGTCATCATTATCATAACCTAGGTCATCATTATCATAACCTTGGTCATCATTATCATAAGCAAGGTCATCATTATCATAACCAAGGTCATCATTATCATAACCAAGGTCATCATTATCATAACCAAGGTCATCATTATCATAACCAAGGTCATCATTATCATAACCAAGGTCATCATTATCATCAATTGAGTCATCATTATCATCACCGCAACATTTTTATAACTATCGTTATGGTACTTTTGAGGAAATTATTGCAACCAGGCCCTCCTAATAATAAAATAATAATAATAATAATAATTGAAATAATAATATTTATAATAGAAAAAGAAAAAATAAAAAAATATCAAATTAATTCATACATCCATTAATTCGCCCATTCATTGATCAATCAATTCATCAATTGTTATTAATTAAACCATCAAACCATCCACAAATGCATTCATCCATTCATCGTCTACTCATCCATCCATTCATCCGCTTACTCATTTTTCATTCATTTATTCATTCATTCACTCTCTCACTCATTTGTTTGTTCGCGTTCGTTTGTTTTTCCTTAAAAAATTTTCGCGTGTTCATGGATTAGAGGCGTCAATATCATTCATGATTAGCGCAAATCTTACGTACACACACACACACACATCAATGCATGTTTGTTTGTATTATTATTATTATTATTAAAATTATTATTATTATTATTATCATTATTATTATTATTATAATTATTATTATTGAAAAAAAACTTAATATAGCGTTCGTTATAGCAAACGCTATCAAATTATAACTAATATTAATAATAAAATAGCAAGAATGAAATGA